AGGAGAAGAAGGTGGAGAAGAAATACAAAACAAGATATGAATATGAGCGAGAAGAACAATAACAAGAAAAGAACAAGAAAATACAAGAACAAGAACAAATCCAAAACCAAATGAACAAGAACACAGACAAGAAGAACACGAACACAAAATGATCTTGACTTAACTACCATAGACAATCAAACCACCACCTTGTTGACATGACTTAACACAACAAACACAACAACAAAAACAATTCTACCCTTCTGTTCTACGACCGTTTTCATACCTACAACAGTAATACTAACGGGAACAACGGAGCCTCTCAAACAGAAAAAAAACAATAGAAATTCCCTTTAACAAATAAAGTTTATCTGGGGGTCACTAAGAGCTGAAACAAACTCACACACACACACACACACACACACACACACACACACACACACACACACACACACACACACACATCAATACTGGTAGATACTGTGAAAGGTAGAATTTGGTAGATACATGATAGTAGATAAGACACAATATAGAGTAGAGTTACAGGTAGATTAGCATGCAGATAGACACAGATAGAAGGGTAGATGAAAAGATGGATACCTCAAGTAGATAGATATCCCCGTGCCTTGACCACACACCTCCCTCCCCCCTCCCCCCCTCTCCCCCTCCTCCCTCCCACCCACATCTGTGCCCACAATAAGCATCTCCAAGGAGGGACGCCCATTCCGCCACCCACCAAACCGCCCAACCTGCCAGGAAACCGCAGGAATGGGTGGTAGAAGACGAGGATGAGGAGGAAGTGGAGGAGGGAGAACAGAAGGAGGAAGAAGAATAGAAGGAGAAAGAAGAGGAGGGGGAGAAGAACAAGAGAAGGGTGAGGATGAGAAGGGGAGGAAGAAGAGGAAGGGGAAGGGGAAGGTGTAGGAGGAAGAAGAAGACGAGGACGAGGAGGAGGAAGAAGAGAAAAAGAAGAGAGGAAGAAATGGAGGGGGGAAAATGGGAGGAGGAGGAGGAGGAGGTGAGTGAGGCATCGGGAACTGATAGAGAGAAGATTCAGATCTTTCCTCAGGTTGCTTTGAATTGATTCGTATACAAGGTTATTACGATCTATTTAATTCCAGTTGATTAGGATTGATTCGTATTCAAACTGCTTCATTTTGATTAATCAACAAGTTTTTATTGATTGCCTGTATTTCAGATTCTGTTTCAGAGGATTCAGGCCGATTCACTGAGCCATATTCAAAAAGATATACGAATTCAGAATCACGATAATTAAGATTCAAATTCAGATTCAGATTAATTCTAAATTTAAGTTAAGAATCAGAATTCTGATATTTTTGGTCTAATATCACTTCATGTAAACCTGTATACTAAGGTACAGGTACGGTGATCATAAAGGTGTGTGACTGTATCCTAAAGGTGTGTGACTGTATCATAATTGTGTGCGACTGTATCATAATGGTGTGTGACTGTATCATAATGGTGTGTGACTGTATCCTAAAGGTGTGTGACTGTATCATAATGGTGTGTGACTGTATCATAATTGTGTGCGACTGTATCATAATGGTGTGTGACTGTATCATAATGGTGTGTGACTGTATCATAATGGTGTGTGACTGTATCTAAGGTGTGTGACTGTATCATAATTGTGCTGGCTATATCATAATGGTGTGACTGTATCATAATGGTGTGTGTGACTGTATCTAAAGGTGTGTGACTGTGTATCATAATGGTGTGACTGTATCATAATTGTATTATTGCGACTGTATCATAATGGTGTGTGACTGTATCATAATGGTGTGTGACTGTATTACCACACGAGGAAGAAGTCAAGTATTACCACATGAGGAAGAAGTCAAGTATTACCACACGAGGAAGAAGTCAAGTGTTACCACACGAGGAAGAAGTCAAGTATTACCACACGAGGAAGAAGTCAAGTATACCACACGAGGAAGCAAGTACTACCACACAAGGCAGAAAATAAGTATTACCACACGAGGAAGAAGTCAAGTATTACCACACGAGGAAGAAGTCAAGTATTACCACACGAGGAAGAAGTCAAGCACACACGAGGAAGAAGTCAAGTATACCCACACGAGGAAGAAGTCAAGTATTACCACACGAGTCGAGAGCCTAGATTTCGTCACCATTCACTGTTATATAATCCTCAACAACCCTCCAAAAATCAAGTTCGTCGACCAGGGTGGACCAAAAGAGTGTCTTACTAAATTACTTGAGGTAAACTAACGCTTTTGATGGGGTGATACAGGTGTGTGTGTGTGTGAGGCGGGGAGCAACAGGAGTCGGCCAGGTAGGTAGTCATTTGAGGGTTGGTCTGGTGGCTGAGGGATACCGTCCTAGAACACAAATATTCCTTGCAGTATTATTTGTATATTATTGGCAGTGGTTCAAAGGGGACTCCTGTGTTTATTAATTTTGTTGACCTAAATATTTGATGGTTGAGGTTGAAAGCGTATAAGATGATTTACGATTTGTATCCATTTTACGGGTATTAGTTAGTTCCATGTAGTGTGTGATGTCCTGAGTATAGGTCACAGTACAGAGGCTGAGATGAAGTTTCGTTTTGTTATTCTTCCTGAGGAAATTAAGTTGTAGATACGTAATGAATGTTGATACATGCAATCACAGTTCAGGCTTCTCATTTGGCAGTCTCTCTCTCTCTCTCTCTCTCTCAGGCGAAAGTAACCCAAAACATCTCCCGGGCATAAGTTTGCCCCCAGGGAGCCCAGTACCTCTTGCCGTGGGGTGAGGGGTGAGGCACCGGAAGGTCTTCTTCAGATGGTATCGTCCCCCAAGATACCTCGAGGAGTGTGTCGCCTCAGTCAAGATACAGGTCATAAAACGCACAACCATCTGGACCTGCATCACACACGTCACTCTCCTTACAGCAGATCCGTCGGTAATCTGAAGCCAGGAGAAGGATAAATATCGATTATGTAACGTCTTGGTTCATCCAAGTGCACCAGAATGTAAGATAATTGTTTGAAGTAAAGACAATTATTCAGTGAATGTTTGGTGATAACTCTAGAAGAAGAAGGGCCTAAATGAAAGCCAACAGCACCATTTTAGACGAGCCTGAGAAAATTCACCTGTAAGGATAAGTCCCACGCTGATATTGAGTGGGCAGGTGAGGTGAGAGAAGGGGATGAAGGGGTGGAGGGTAGGCCAAATAAACACCATTCCAGAGGTGTAAGTCGAGCCAGGAAGTGGCGGGCTCTGTGGTCTGGGCGCCCACTACCGAACTGCCTCCCCTAAACTGACTTTTACGTGTAAGAATTTGCTCTCTGGTTTCAACCTGTTGGACGCTCATTTTATGATACCCGAGGATGGTTGGCGAGCTTCGTGTGTGATCCCTGCTTTCTGTGGCTTCTCAGGCTCCGCTTCACCCCTTAAATCACCCCTGAGCAAATATTATACACCACCCCATCTATTTCCAACTCCTCAGAGCAACTTCCACGCTCACTATAAACAATTAATTTATATATAAGATCCTTAACAGTATATAAAACATCCCAAAATTAAGGTAGGTTCTTAAACACGAGGGCGGAGCACCTCGAGGGGATGACCTAGTACCACCCCATTCTTCCCTACCACCACCTCAAAACGTCGTCAGCTCCAAAGGTGGGTTTGAGGTGGGGCGGGGGATGGGGTGCAAAGATAGGGGGTAAGGGTGGGCCCTGAAGGTGGAAGGAGATGCTACCGGTACCCACTGGAGCGGCACGGGCCAGGACTCATCTTACACGTGTTGGTCAACCTTTTGCCTCAACCCCGGGGGATAGGGACACAAGATGGGGGTGAAAGTGTGGCTAAGGGACGTCGTGAGCGGAAATGGTGTTGTCTTGCGTCTTCTTGATGGAGCTGTGAAGAGTTTGATAGTAGAGGGAGAGACGAGATGATAAATCGGTGAAGAGTAACAGGGGATGACACAAAGAAGTGGATAATATACCGAAGGACGAAAAGGGGACGAAGAGAAATGATAAAACAACAGGAGATAGAAAGAACAGATAAGATAACGAAGAAAGAAAGCTGAAATAGATTGATAGATGAATAACAAAAGATGAAATAGATTTAGTATTTTTAAAGTGAGGGATTTTGTAATTAAGTACAAAAAATCATTGGGGGTTAGTTATTATTATCAGTTTTATTGTTATTGTCATCATTACTATTACCGCTATTTCGGATAATATTGTTTTCCTCCTCCTCCTCATCATCATCATCATCATTATAATTGTCATCCTCATTAATAATATTGAACGTATTTCGTTGTCTGAACACAATGAACCACAGCAACACTCTTACCTAACTTATAATAAAACGATCAACTCATTAACATAACCTGGGGGCTGTGTCTCTGAGAGTCTCATCAGGGTATTTCAGATAAATGGAAGAATTCTCTTACGAAATGTTTGGGAATGTATTTATTTATGAAGATTGTTGTTGATGTTAAGTTTGTACTGTATGGTTTGGTTAAGTGAGAGGTGAGAGTTGTGTCACTTGAACAATGAATTGTTGGGATGTATTGTATACACACTCCATGTATATGCATGTATACACATGTAAATACAATTACATGGATGGACAAACAAATATGACACATAAACTCACATATCGAAACATACTCAGGCATTTGCTCATGCAAACACACACACACACACACACACACATATATATATATATATATATATATATATATATATATATATATATATATATATATATATATATATATATATATATATATATATATATATATATACACACACACACAAACACGTGCAAGTACATACGTATCCGCGCTCACAAGTAAACAACACATACACAGGTACATTAACACACACACAAGCACCTACACACATACGTAAGTACAGTACATAAAAACAAATAAAAAGACAAATCTAAATATCAACATCCAACGAATAAGAGTTGTCCTAGGTAAGTCTGAAGAGTGGCAGCAATGACCTATGGCATGACGTGTGACCTATGACCTCTCCCTCCGCCAGGGTGCTCGTCGCCGCGCTCACCAGACAGCTGCCTGAAGTCCAAGAAGCAGAGGAAGGCGCGGACGGCGTTCACAGACCACCAGCTTCAGACGCTGGAGAAGAGCTTCGAGCGTCAGAAGTACCTGAGCAGGACCGCATGGAGCTGGCTGCCAAGCTGAACCTGACCGACACCCAGGTGAAGACCTGGTACCAGAACAGACGGTGAGTGTCCTCAGGTCAAGACTTGGTACTTGAATAGACAATAAACGTTTTAGATTGGAATCACCCGCCCTCCCCAACTGGTCTTGTCAGGTTATATGTAAACAAAACCAGGTGAGTGTGTGGTCCCTCATGTGCCTCACCCACAACCTCCTCCCCCACCTCTTCACCCCTCCACTCCCTGCAACACTAACCTCGTACTGTTCATTCTCCGTGACCGCCCACCATCTCCCCGGCCCTAAAAGCTGCATCGTCTCCTTACCTCCTCGTCATCTCCCCATCCCTTTCTTCTCCCCATAATAAATATCAAGTTATCTCTTCCTTCCAATACCCTCCTCTTCTCCTCCCACCTTCACCCCCTTCTTGCCTTACCAAAGCCACCTTCGGGTAATCCTCGAACACAAAGAACACTTCACAAATATTACATAACAGCTTGGGAACTTTCTAAATCGATCCAGAAATCCCCCGACAACAATAAATCCTCCCACAATGACGGACCATCAACCCGGATTTAATTAATTGGCTTGATAAACCATACTTAGGCGGTGCATTAAGCAATGTTAAGTGGTGGCCTATGCCCTTATAGCATAGGAGGCTAGTGTTTGATGCTGACCCTGTGTCGTGATGAGAGAGAGAGAGAGAGAGAGATGTGTGGGTGAAAGGTACATAGAGAAAGAATGATAGAGACAAATATGAAAGAGAACGAGAAAGACACACACACACACACACACACACACACACACACACACACACACACACTACATGAACAAACATAACCTATCTAAACTAAGTCATTCAATAGGACAAAACAACACATGATATATCCTACGTAATAAAACACAAAAAATAAACAGAACAAAATAAAACGTAAAACACCGATAAAAAAAAACCCTTGACAAATGGAACTTGAGTTTATTTATAACAAAATCTATTAAGTGAACGAAACAATATGACAGATAATGGTACTGTTTTTTTAGTCAATTTATCTTATAGCTTCAATAATTAAGCTTCCTGTTAATGAATATATTACCTGAATATTACCTGAGCTTGAAGGTAAATGTTGGTTAGTATTACTTGAGTGCCAGATTGATATTGCCTGAGTATTACGTGATCGTTATATAGTGTCTAATAATAGCTGGGCCTTAAGATAGATATTACTTGACTTATACTTGATATTTCTTAAGTATTACCTTAGTCTTATATAGATATTACCTGCCTTTGAATATTACCTTAGTAGGACCTGAGTATTATCTAATTATTGACCTAAATCGCTGAGAATGCATAAATATTTCAAAGTCATATATGAACGTTAATATTCCATAAATATTACTTAAACATAACATGATATTCCCCTGCTACCTTAAACATCCTTATATAACCTAAATATTATCTTGGTAATACTTAAAACATTACTTAAAGATTAGATAGATATTACTTGAACTTTTATATTATATGAATGTTACTTTCAATTCCCTAATATTATCTCTCTCTCCTCTCCTCTCTCTCTCCCTACCCTCCCTCCTCATCTCGTCTTCCTTTCCCTCCCTCTCATTATCTATCTCCATCTTTCCCTTTCATCATCATCTTTCTTTCTCCCACCCTCTCCCTCTTCCCACACTCTCCATCCCTCCCTCTCATCATCTCTCCTACCTTCTCCCTCTGATCATCATCCCTTTTCTCCTACCCCCTCCCCTCCCACTCATCACCTCTCCCTCCCTTTCATCATCTCTCCTACCCTCCTCCCACCTCCACACACCCTCTCTCCCTCCTCATCATCATCCCTCTCCCACCCTCCCACTCCATCACTCCCTCCTCATCATCATCATCATCCTCTCTCCCACCCTCTCCTCCACTCCATCACTCTCCCTTCTCATCATCATCATCATCCTCTCCCCTCCCACCCTCCCCACTCAATTCTCCCTCCTCTCATCATCATCTTCATCCCTCTCTCCTACCTCCCCCCCTCATCACTTCCCTCATCATCATCATCATCCCTCTCTCTCCCACCCTCTCCCACTCATCACCTCTCCCTCTCATCATCATCATCATCCCTCTCTCTCCCACCCCTCTCCCTCATCACTTCTCCCTCTCATCATCATCTTCATCCCTCTCTCTCCTACCCTCTCCCCACCTCCCAACATACACTAAACGATCACCTCAGAGATGGTAGCGATTTCGTTCATCTTATTATCATCAGACTCTGGCTAGCTCACGGCTGCTGCTGCTGATGTTGCCCGCGCCCTCAGGCCTCTATTAGCCAAGCCCATTAATTATATGTATTGTGGATAATGGGACACTAATGGGCCGTGGTGAAGTAGTTAGTTGGTCGTCTCTCCTCGCTTGGGTTCATAGGTTCGAGCGATCAGGAGCCGGATTCTTCCAAAAGTTTGTGTTTTAATTCTTGTCTAAGTCGGTGATGTAAGAATGTATATAACGGGTTTACTTATTATAAGATACAAATTCGGAGTCTCAGTGGTTCGTAAGTATAATTTTTTTCTAGTAACAGGTGATATAAGGATGTATTTAAGGGGTTTATTTATAGCAAGACACAAAGATAATTCCCAATGGATCATAAGTCAAAATTTCCTCCTAACTGGTAATATGAGAAAGTATCTAAATGATTTATTCTCAAAAATTCGTATGATTTTTTTCCCTATTGACTTACAGTATACTTAAATGCGTAAGATACTATTAAAATATGGCATCAATGGTGTACTGAGACTCTACCTGAACTTAATAGTCAGGTGAGGGAGTACATGTATAAAATCTTTGTTTATTCCGCTGTCAGTCGTAGTTAATGTTAATAGTAATACCAAACTGAATCGATGACCCTAATTCAGAATAACATCAATTAACATCAACATTGTTTATTAGCAGTCTCTTTCATTAATTGTTTTCTCTCTCTCTCTCTCTCTCTCTCTCTCTCTCTCTCTCTCTCTCTCTCTCTCTCTCTCTCTAATACTTCTTAATACCAAGTATCACTCAAAGTAATAAACATCAACCGTTGTTTTTATCATCAACAGACCGTTAGATCGTCTGTTGTGGTTATAATTCCGCCAACAGTGTCTGCCTCTCATCGGTAACGGGAGCCACCGTTCATGCCGGTATATATAGTGAAGGTCTAATGCTGGTAAAAACTTCCACCATATTTCCAACTTATTTCACTAAAAGATTCTAATGTTAATATAATATAATATGATATGATATAATATAATATAATATAATATAATATAATATAATATAATATAGTATAACGTAGCCTAATCTAACTAAAATCATCTAACCAAACCTAACCTAACCTAACCTAACGAACTATATACGTAGGAGAGGAGTGTAGTCCGTTATATCGAGGTTCTCTTTATGTAAAACCTCTACATAACAGACTATATAGAAGAACATATTCCATTATATCGAGGTTCCGTTACCTGTGAAACCCCCTTCCACATAACGGACTATATACCCGTTAGACTGATATCCGTTAAATAGAGGTTTTACTACATGTACTCATCATAGTATCCTAAAGAAGGTAAATAAGTAACCTTTATTCACTCCAACACCTATAATAATAATAATAATAATAATAATAATAATAATAATAATAATAATAATAATAATAATAATAATAATAATAATAATAATAATAATAATAATAATAATAATAATAATAATAATAATAATAATAATAATAATAATAAAAATAATAATAATAATAATGATAATAATAATAATAATAATAATAATAATAATAATAATAATAATAATAATAATAATAATAATAATAATAATAATAATAATAATAATAATAATAATAATAATAATAATAATAATAATAATAATAATAATAATAATAATAATAATAATAATAATAATAATAATAATAATAACAATAATAATAATAAATAATAATAATAATAATAATAAAATAATAATAATAATAATAATAATAATAATAATAATAATAATAATAATAATAATTCTTCACTACGAATGAATAACAGTGAAAAAATCAAAACATCAAGTTATCTTTAAAAAACAGATGACAGGTTGGTAATACTGTTGTTCTATTGATGCGTAGCTGATGAAAATGTTGGGCAGTTCAGCCTGGTGGCCAACACTCAGTAAGGTAGGGGGTAGGGGTGTGTAGGGGTGAGGTAGGGGTGTAGGGGAGGGTGTGGGGTTGGGGTGGGGGTGTATTTGTGCTTTCAATTGCGTGGTCCAGCACCAATTTATGACATGGTTGGTGGTGGTGGTGAGGAGGATAGTGATAATTATCCGTCTAATTCCCTTGTGTAGTTCTTTGCACCAGGAAGGGGGAAGGGAGGAAGAGGAAGGGAGGGAAGGGAGGAGGAAAATAAAGAAAGGGAGGAAGGGAGGGAAGGAGAAACAATAATAGAAGGAGTATAAGAAGGAAGGGAAGGAGAGGATGGGAGGACAAAAAGAAAGGGAATGAGCAATGAGGAGGGAGAGATAATAAAGAAAGGGGGTGAGGAGGAAGGGGTAGATAGAGTGAAGGAGACGGAGATAGAAAAAAAAAGTAAAAAAAGAAAAGATTGATGGAAAGGGAGAGGATTGACGAATGAAGATGGAAGGAAGAACGGATAAAAAAAGGGAGGAAATAGAAGGAGGGGTGCAAAAATAGAGGAAGAAAATGAGAGAGAAAGACAGAGGGGAGAGAACATGCGAAAGAGTAGAAATGAGAAAAAAATAAAAGAGCGAAAGTGAAAGTGAGAGAGAGGGGAAAGACTTGTTTTGTGAAAAATAAGAGCGAGAGTGAATGAGAAAAAGATAGAGAGAATCATTTGCATACGAGATTCTACCTACTTGCTTAAAAAACATTAAATTAATATCTTCCACAATACAACGGTCTATAACTCACTATGGTCCTAATTACATATGCAAATTTACCGAAGGAAAAAAAAAGGTAAGTTAATGCATAAGTGAATTCGTGCATCAGTGTAGTTGCCAAAATAAGGTAATCCAATTTTTTTATATATATTTAAAGG